AAAAGTGTGGGGCCGGCAGGTGGCATGGTGGTTAAGGGTGCTGGATTCCCACATGGCTAACCATGGTTTGAGTCCTGGACCTGGCAGCTTGCTTCCTCACTTTCCCTCTCTCTCTTCCTCTCACTCTGTCCCTCTCTGGTCAAATTAAAATAAACAAATAATAAAGTTAAATTATTTTAAAAGAAAGTGGAATCACATATTTGTCCTTTTTTTCTGGCTTTTTCACTGGGTATAATGTTGCCAATGTCCATCCACACTGTAGCGAATGTCCAAATTCTCTTCCCATTTAAGGCTGCAAGGGAGAACCACACTTTGTTTCTCATTGTCAATGGACACTTAGGCTGCTTCCACCTCTGGCTACTGTGAACAATGCTGTAATGAACATGGGTGTGCAAGTATTTGTCTACAATTGTTTTGGATATGTAGCTAGGATTCACCTGCTGGGTCACGCGGTAATTCTATGTTTAACTGTTGGAGGAAACGCCACACTCTTTTCCACAGTGGCTGCCCCGTTTTACACTTCCACCAATAATGCACGAAAGCTCCACTTTCTCCACATCCTCCTCAACACCCAGTATTTTCTGTTTCTTTGGCCAGAGTCACCTTGGTTAGTGTGAAGTGGTAGCGTGTCAACTTTTCAAACACATTTCATGTACATATTTAGGCACACTGAAAGTCAGGGAAAGCTCCCATCTTTACTTATCTTGTTACCTGTGCTTCCCATTTCTTTGTCCCAGATGACTAAGTCCAGCTAATTTCTGTGTAATTTATGGGCTTTTACACCTCTTCTATTAGAGATGTGAAACAGTAGGAGCCTCTAGTCACCCTCTGGGTACAGCAGCCCCTTCTCTATGCCTCGCCTCGTCAGCCACCCTGACGAGCATGTCCCCTCTGTGCATGGATGTGCTGAATGAGCCCCACCATTGGGCAATGGAGGGTGGGGCCATCGTGGGTCCCAGGCACACCACCCTGGGCAAGGGCCTCGAGCTACAAAGTTGAACTGATGCTGCCTCTTTTCCAGGTGTCAAGATGGTCCTGGCACTGCCTGGCTTCCAAAGCCATGGCTGCTCTATGCAGACACCCCAAGACCTGGCCATCCCACCCACCCACTAACTAGTATTCACCCTTCTCCCTACCCTCTTTAGGTCAGTGTGGCCACACACATTCACCGTGGTGTCTGAACACCCGGCCTTCACACGCTGAAACTCAGCCTTTTACAACCTCCCTCTCAGACACCCCACGTAGACACCAAGAACACCTGGTGGGCATCCTGAGCCCCCTGTAGACTTCTGCAGGTGCTCATCCCTGGAGGCCCAGCAGACACACCCACTGCTGAGACAGGCAGAACAGGAAGAGGCCATGCCCAGAGGCAAGGGGGCTGAGCCATCCGTCCCAGGGCTCCTAGGCCAACTGCACTTAAGAAGGGTGACAGACCTAGCAGCACAGGCCATGGTCAGGGTCCAGGCAGGGGTGGACTGGCGCTGCACCTACCGTACACCAGCCTGGAGTTCTGTTGCTTCAACTCCCGCACGATGTCCACCACCATGGCCAGGAACGACTTGTCCCTCGTGTAACCTTTGTGGGGAAATCCACGTTATTCTCATGAGACAGGTGACTCACAGCAGCCGGCTGAGGCACTACAAACTGTTCCAGCTTGGGGAGCTGTAGGCAAGTCTGGGACACCACAGCCAGCCTCCGCCGTGACAGCCCCAGCACTTGGTGTGGAGGGTGGCCAGGCTCGCCCCCAAAGCAGCAGCACATGTTAAACAAACAGACCACACTGGGGCAGGTGAGTGAGTCATCTTTTCCTTTTTCTATATTTTCCACTTTTAGTAGTAACGTCCATCCATTTTAACCATGTGTAAAAGTACAAATTGGGGAAAAACCTCTTATTTTGAAACTAGAAAGCTGACAGATGCCTCCAGTGCACCATGGAAGCACGTCACTTACCTGGTGCTTCGCCTCAGTCTCTTCCTGGCCCCACAGCACCCCCAGTACCTCACCGGTCACCCCTAGACTCAGAATCCCAGTGCAGCCCTGAGTGGGCACAGGGTGGCCAGGACCCTCATGGCTGGTCCTGAGGCCACAGGAGTCCTTCCCTGAAGGGGGCAGAGACCAGGAAGCTGGAAGGGGTGTTGCCCCAGGCCTTCCCTGAGCCTACACGGCTGGAGCGGGTCCACACCCCCTTACCTGTGAGCACGTAATCATACTTGTTCACGCCGTTCAGCTTCAGACCCTCATACAGCTCATGGAGCTCATCTGAGTTCAGCACCTGGCCCTTCCAGTGGGCGTAGCCTGCGGGGAGAGCAGGCACTCAGAACGTGGACACAGGGACCCTCACGGAACCCGCAGGCTTTCCCCACGACCCAGAGGCCCAAATAGGTGCATTTGGCACGGTACCTTGGCAGGTCCTGATACCTAACTGTGCAGTGTAGGAGCCCCATGAAAACAAACCTGCTCCTACACTGCTGGCCCCACCTTCTGGTCCTGGTCCTGCTGATTAAATCATCCAGAGGGGCCTGCAGCTGCCCAGGCCAGCCCAGAGGCATCTGTGGGGTTGTGCCTTATTTGCAAATGGGACTCATAGGGACACCAGGTCTTTAGCAAGAGTATATGAGGGCAGCACCCCCGTGTCCTGGTTCCCAGCCTCTGCTACACACTCCTCCAGCTATCCAAGCCAGGTTGCTCGGTCCCTGTCACCTGGGCGCCCTGGCTGGAAGGGGTCCATCATGGGCTCCCTCTGCCAACCCTTACCCACCAGCAGCTTAGAAAAAATTCTGACCAAGAGACAGATGTGAATGAGAAGTGGGTCCCAGCCCATGTGTGCAACCCACTCTCAGCCTGACAGGTAACCTGGTGAAGTGTCCACCCCAAGCAGGCAGACACACTGGCCAGTAGGAAAGGATGCCTAGGGGTCCCTCTGTGGCACCATGCTCACATCTCAGCGCTGCTGTTGGGGGTGCCTGTTCACACAAGGTGGAGCCAACCACAGAACACCCTGCGCTGCAAAGATGAAAAGTCCCTCAGGTATAAGGACACCAGTAAGGTTGAACTAGGGCCTGCCCTGACCTCGTTCTACCTCAATCATCTCTTCAGAGGCCCATCTCCAAGCGGAATCAAAGTCTGAGGTCCTCCGGGTCGAAGCTGTAGCACATGAATCATGGGGTAGGGGATGGGACATGCAATCTGGCCCATAGCACATGCAAGGGAAGCGAGAGGTGCAGGGAGTTTCAAACACAGGTCCCAGGAGGGGCATACAGCCCTCCGCGAGGCCAGCTTCCGAACCCAACCAGGAAGCTAGCTTCTGCACCTTATCCAAGACTCAGGGTGGGCCAAGCTCATGAGAACATTATGGAGCAGGAGATGAACACTCACGTCCTCTGTCCAACTCCAACAGAGGCCTGTTGAGTGGCTCCTGGGGCAGCCTGAGTAGGCCCAGTGCTTTTGTCCCACTCTAGCCCAGCAGGGAGACTGGGCCGGGTGCCTGTCCCCAGCCCTCTGCTGCTCTGAGGCTGTGTCCACATCAGCCACCCCTCCCCTGCAGTGAGGCCCACTGAGCCTACCATTGGTCACTGGTCCTGCCCACTGACTGACAGCCTCAGTGAATCTCAAGAAGTAGCTCGTATGTTTTGGGGGTGAAGGGCAGCTCAGAGGGTAGGGGCTGTAAGATGGGAGAGGGAACGCAGGAAAGAGTAGAGCTGAGGCTCCACCCTCAGAAAGGCCCGTCCGCCAGGCAGCGCCGCTGCCTGACGTCCCTTCATTCCCAGGACGGACAGGAGCAGTCCTGTACAGACAAGGCAGCTCCCAGGAACTGCGTCCCCTCTGGGAGCCTGGCATCAGGAACGGCCCAGGCAGAGGAGCCTACCTGACTGGCCCCCATGAAACCCTGAGTGCTGAGTCCTGAACAAGCTCCCTGGTAGGCAGCATCTCATATGTTGTCACAGCTCCTGCTAGGAAAATTAGGCACATCCTATATGACCCAATTCCACTCCTAGTATGTGTATACTGGAGAGAACTGAAAATACGCCCACAAAAAACATGCAGACAAATGATCACGGTAGTGCACTCCATAACCCAGGAAGTGGAAACAGGTCTGGCGAGGTGGCACAGGCGGGATGTGGGGGACAGCACAACATGGCACGAGAGCATATGGGAAGGCCCAGGATTTGGGTCCCAGGTCACTCTAAACATGTCAGATACATCAGTGACCTGGCCGGCTGGAAGGCTGGGGTGGGGGGATTATGATATGGCAGGACTGACAGGGGTCGCCTTTCTCTATCTCACATTAAAGAAAGAAAGAAAAGAGGAAACCATGCAAATGTCCACCAACGGACGAATGGGTTAAACATGATGGGGCCCATCCATACCATGGGATGTTATTCAGCCATAACAGAAGGGGGCACTGACGCACGCCGCTAGGTGGGAGAACCCAGGGAATGTGCTCATGAAGGACCTGGGCAGAGGCTCACACACTGCATGGCCCACTCCTGGGCACTGTCCAGAACAGGTAAATTTGGAGACAGAAAGTAGTGTGGTGGGTGCTAGGGGCTGGGGGAGGGGGTGCACAGGGACTGCGCATGGGTGTGTGGTATCTTGTTTGGGAGAGAGAAATGTCCTAAAATTGGCTTTGGTAATGGTTGCACAACCCTGCTGATGTCCAGAGGAAGTGCTGGGCGGCCTCTGTGGTCACCCGGCATTGTCCAAGTGTCCTGGTAAGACAGCTTGTGGTTGAGAGTGTGCGACTGGTCACATGTGGTGTGAGCTATGTACCAGCGTGCACAGAGGCCCACGTGGAGGAAGTAACAGAACAACGGCCTCACCAGACAGCCTGAGGAGGGGGCCCTGGACTAAGGATGTACAGCGTGGACCACCTCTGCACAAAAAAGATGAAAAAGGACTGTTTCTGGAGCCTCACACACTGCCTTCTACAATCTGTGGAAGAAAGGCACGGCAGTGGGGGGCGTTCTTCAACCCACAGAAGCTGAAGCAACTCTGCTCCCTGCCCCCAAAGGTGCAGGGGGATGGATGAGTTTCTTGTCCTAACCACTGGCTTCTGTGCTGCCCAGAAGCAGGTTTGTGCCATGGAGCAGATTTGCTCCGAGCAGCAGTACGGACAGGGGCAAGAGGAGGGAATTCAGCAACAGGGCCCTGGTGTAGGGGGTAAAGGGGCCTCCCCAAGAAGCCCTCCTGATTAAACCACACAGACAGCATCCTGAGTGGCCTAAATGCAGGACTCAGAGCCAGCCTGTCGGAGCTGCCCGGGGGGTCCTGAGTCAGGCAGGCCTGCCAGTGTTTGGAAGATGCTGGAGTGGGGCAGCAGGCCCATCTTGACACTGAGGGTTCTGTGGGAAGGGAAACTTCTATTCCCTTAACCTTGCTTTGCAGGGGTCCCAAGCATATAGGGGTCTACCCTTCACCTATCCCTCCTGATGCAAGCCAGAGACCCTTTCTGTTGTAGAACCTTTGGGATGGCCAGTCCAAACCACTTGAGAAGGTTCCACGGAAGCCCAGAAGCAGCCAGTCACACTGGCTGGTTCCACTGAAGCCCCAGGTACTACCTTTTACCCGAGAGTGGGTATGGAGGGCAGCAGGAGTTTCTCAGCCAGTCTTTGCTGATTAGGGCACAACCTAGCCCTCGGAAATAAGCTCATTCTATCATTCATGTCCAGGCCAGGTTGGCTCACTGACTACAAAGGAACGAAGTAAGTAAGTCATCATTTAAAAAAGGAAGGAGTCAGGGCAGACAGGTGACACGGTGGTTAAGGGTACTGGACTTCCATATGGTTTGAGTTCTGGATCTGGTGGCTTGCTTTCTCACTCTCTTTCTTTCTCTCTGTCCCTCCCTGGTCAAATTAAAATAAGTAAATAAATTAGGACCAGCAGGTGGCATGGTGGTTAAGGTGCTGGACACTCCCAAATGGCAGACCATGGTTTGAGTCCTGGGCCTGGTGGCTCGCTTTCTCACTACCCACCCCCCGCCCCCCCCCATGACTCTCTCTGGTCAAATTAAAATAAATGAATGAATCAATAATATTAAATAAAATAATTTTAAAAAGTAAATAAGTAAAGTTAAATAAAATAATTCTTTAAAAATCAGAAGAAAGGAGTCAAAGCAGCTGATAAGAAGAAGTGGGTTTTGGATCAGCAGATAGTGTAATAGACTCCTATGTAGTTGACTGTGGTTCAAGTCCTGCCTTAAAACTCACACAAGCACGTGTGCATGTGTGCCCCAAATCCCAAGAATGGAGGAGAAAGGATTGACCATACCCCTTGGGTGGTGATTTCTTACTTTCTGTCTCTCTGACGAGCACACACGCCCTATAAGGAAATCTCTCTCCAAATAAACAAACAAACAAAAACATAAGTGGGTTTCAGGGAGAGTCTCTAAAGGGACCAAGCTTTCTGTACTCTCTACACTTCAGAATACCAAGCACAGCCAGCAAATCCAGTAAGAAAGGGTATTCAGTGGGAACTGGAACTTTTTCATCTGCATCCAGCAAGTAATTCTTTCCTCTCAGTTTAAAACTTCTAAAACCCCCTTCCAAGAAAAATCACACCCAAGAAAATGACAGAAAATCCTTCCTGCACTCATAAGCGCAGGCCCAGGCCCAGGCCCCCTCCTGCGTGTCCTGTTGGTGTTCTGCCAGGTTGTTCTGGGACATTCTGTGCTCCTGAGGTTCTGTGTGGGTTCAGAGTAATTTCAGGAGGTGATATGGGGTGTTTCAAAGAACTAAGCGGCTTTGTTCTCCTGCCACCACAGCTGCAGGGACCGCAAGCCTCCAGGCCTTGGGGTCAGGGGCTGTGGGGAGCAAGGCATCCACCCCAGATAATGTGAGGGGTTCCCCAGGGCAGCGAGATCTTCAGAGTCCCCCTCAACTCACTGAGACAGAAGCACCCCCAAGCACCCTGACATTGGTAGGAAAATTCAGAACTAGCCACACATTCACCAGAAGGATCACAAGGGAACTCCTGCCCCGAGGCATCACCCTGGTAGATGAGAGGACCCCCAGGACAGGCACAGTACACGTAAGACAGTGGCAGTTCACCTGTGCTGAGCCAGGCAGCAGCCCGAATGCTCTATGCAGTTCACCCACTCTATGCAGCCCTAGAGTGGGTGGTAGGATTGCCACCCTGCTTTATGGATGGGAAACCGAGGCACTGAGAATCCACCACCTGCTCCAGGTGCAGCCAATCTGGGGCTCACAGCAGGCTGCATCCACGTCAGCTCTGCCACGACTGCTGGGGCCGATGCCTTACCTGTGTGGTTTGAAAACTGGACCGAGTTCACCGAATCGATTTCAAATCCCAAAACCTGCAGGACAAGGAGAAAAGGTACGGCTGAGAGCCAGGACTGGGGTCTCCTCCACTACAGGAGGGCCTGACAACAGCCTGAGTGCCGGCTTGAACGGGGAGTGAGCTAGGCCAGGCCAGAGCACGGTCCCCAGGCACAGGCTGAAGGGCTGCCCACGAAGGAGCAGGAAGCTCTCCTGGAGGCAGGCCCGACATCACACGTGCTTGGCAATGAACTTCCCATGATCCTTTAGGAAACTCATTAGGCAGCACCCAGTCGAATCGGCCCACTCCTGGCACTTCTTGGCTCATTCTGGAAATCCCACCAAATGAAAAGTGCTCAAAGAAACAAATACAAGGTACATCTGTCCAGACCCTGAGAGGGCTACAAGGCCATCTTTGCTGTGCACATGTGGGTTCCCAGGCCCCACCGCGCTGCATGGCACAGCTGACACTCCCCCCGTGGTGCCTGGCTCAAAGCCCCTCCATTGTCACAAGTCAGCTGGGGAGAAAGGAGGCTCCAAGCCCAGAACCCAAGATCCCCTGAGAACAATCACAGCTCCTAGACCATTGGTGCCCACTGACTGGGAGCACCCTCAGCTGGGGTCACAGCAGAGGCATGCTGGGCCATCAAGTCACAGAGAGAGGTCTTGGGGGATGAGCAGGGCTCTTTGGCCAAGGGGAGCTACAGGCTAGAAGATTTGAGGCCACCTACTACTAAGTACAGCTATCGCTGAATTAAGAAGTTTATTTTTTTTTTTTTTTTTTTTTTTGGAGAGGTTTTTGCTATAGGGCGCTTGTGCTCGCCAGACAGAGAGAGACAGAGAGACAGAAAGCGAGAAATCACCCCCCAGGGCGGATGGCCACGCCGCAATCCCTTCTCCTCCATTCTTCTCTCAGGATCTTGGGCACGCACACACACGCGCCCGGTGAGTTTAAGCCACCGGGTCCGGGACTCGAACCGCAGTCGACTACGTGGGAGTCCAATGACATAGCCATTACGCTAACTGCTGGTCCCTTTTTCCTTTTTTTTTTTAAAAAAACGCTCCTTACTGAGAGTAAGGGAAGAGATGGTCACATTGAAATGGCTTAGACACCCGCACAAGCCAATGTCAAGAGCTGTGGGCTTCAGAACATGGAACCTGGTATGGTTTCTTCTCCACTTACCTTTACTTTCTTATTTTCCGACAGGTACTTTGCTAATTAATCCCCACATCTAACTCATTCAGGCAGTTCTGATGTACAAGAGCTTGCAGATCCTGGGACCAGCAGGATCTGCAAGCGTAATGGCTATGTCGCTGGACTCCCATGTAGTCGACCGCGGTTCGAGTCCCAGACCCTGTGGCTTAAACTCACGCCCGGTGCTTGTGCGTGCGTGCCCAAGATCCCAAGAGGAAAATGGAGGAGAAGGGATTGCGGCGTGGCCATCCCCCCTGGGGGGGTATTTCTCGCTTTCTATCTCTCTGTCTCTCTCTGTCTTTCTGGTGAGCGCATGCACCCTATAGCAAAAACCTCTCCAAAAAATTTTTAAAAATATAAAAAGAGCTTGCAGACCCTCAGGTGACAACCCGTGTTCTCTGCAGCGTCCCTCCCACACACTTTGGCCAGGGAGGTGATGGGCACTAGGTCACGGACTGCCCCTCACCCTGGGTCCCTGCCAGGCCTTGTTGCCTCCTCCAGACTGGCCCCTGCTGGCATCATCATGAACAGACCCAGGACAATGGCCCTGCTGTATGGTCCCCTCCTAAGCCTATCAGTGTCCACTGCATTTGCCTGCCAACAGCCACTGCATTTGCCAAGGAACACCACCAGCATGGACCTGAGCTGAGTGGGTGGGATCAAGTCAGGCAGCCTTCACCCACCCCCATGAAGGAGGCTGCAAGCCTCAGAGGTACCCTGACAGCAGACAGGGCTCTCCATGGTCATGCCCCCAGCTGACCCCACCAGGGTCAAGGGGGCGGCCTCGGGGGTCTGCCGGCACACAACCGTGCTGCTGTTGCCTTGTACCCTCTGGACCAGGCCACTGGCCACCATGCCTGGGCTACCCCATAACCTCTACAAGACTGTCACTCCTCTTGTGTGATCCCACTCTTCCCACAGCCCTTCCTGAAATCAGCTCCTCTAAATGGCCCCCTCTGGGCCAGTGCCCAACTCCCATGGACAGGAGCCTCTGCCTAGCATCCTTCCTCCCTCTCCCCGAGCCTCCAGCTGCCTCACACCTTATTCCAGAGGGTTGCCTCTTCTCTGTGCCCTTTCCCACTCCCAGCCAGGTCACAGGGTTTGCCTTGACACTCACTTCCACAACTGAGGCCATCCAAGGACCTCTAACCAAATGCATCACACATAGGCAGTGGGAAGCTGGGAGCCACCAAGAGAAGTGCAGAGATGATGGCCCTACCAGGGCATGGAAGTCAGGCCTGAGCCCCAGGAGGGAGCTGGGCACAAGGACCATGAGCCCTGCTGACTGGCCAGGGCCACAGGGGAGACAGTGGCCAGGGAGTGTCAAGGCCTTGCAGCTCAACGCCAGGACTTGCAAGTAACTCTGACACGGACCTTCAGACCCTCTCTCTCGGCAAAACCCCATGAAAATGAGAACAAAGGAGCATTGTAAAGCACTGGCCCAGAAGGGCCAGGAGGGGAGAGATTTCCGCCAGCTTTGGCACAGTTCAGTTAGAGCCCTAGGACCCACAGAGGGGACAACCTGAGCTGCAGGACCTCCCAGAGAGAGGGCAAGTGAGAATGTGTGTAAGACAAAGAGACAAAGACAGGGGGACAGAGGGAGAGACAGAGACAAGGAGGGAGGAAGGAAACCAAGGGGTGAGGGGACCCCAGGCCACTTTCCAGTCTCCGGCAGCCCTCCACCAGTTTACTTTACTGCCTTACCCATGCCCAGCTTCTCAATGTCCTAAACCCTCTTTTCCCTCCTCACCTGAAGAACCAACCAGCCCTGAGTCTCCCTTCAACATTCAAAGCCAGGCTGAGCTATCTCTGGGGCTGCCTCTGGAGGAGGGGACAGTGCCTGAGAGGGCCTCTGGGTGCTAGCCACATTCTGTTGTTCATGTGGCGTGCCATTCTGGGAAGATGCCTTGAGCTATATGCTGATGATCTCTATTCACCAGGGTCTTTCTAAACGTTTTAAATAGGTGAGGTGACTAAAGCAATGAAATAAAAATTAGCAGTCTTATTAAAACGAGAAGTTAAAATTGGCACTTTCTAAATCTCCTTGCCTGATTCCATGGCCATCTATGCACAGATAAAACTTGGGGTATTTCGAGTCTCAAAATTCTAATCGACTCTGAGAAATAGATTTGAGGCAATGATGACACAAATCCTGACCATCCTGCCAAAAATTCTGCCCCACTGCTTCTGGATGTGTAGATAATTAATCCTTTGGAGCTGCCAAACATATCTGAGAATGAAGTTGCTATTTCCTGCTGCCAAATGACAGAGAGCTAAGCCCCTGGGCAGGCATCTCTATTTCAAATCCCCCATCAAAGCCGGCTTATGACTCCGTGTCACATGACGGCTGGAAGAGATCCAGGGCCAGCCTATCAAACTGCACGTGCAAAACCAACCCACAAGAGAAGACACGGCCCAGTCAGGCCAAGCTCCAAGGGAGGCAGGAGCCGGGGGACCCCAGAGGAGCCTCCTGCTGTGAAGTTGTCCTTTCACTACTAGGATGGCTTGTAGCACTGGCCTGACTCGGCACTGCTTCCCTGCACGGGGGCACTTCATGAGAAGCAGGGAGAGATGCAAAGTGGGGAAGAGAAGGGACTTGTTTCTCCCACTCCTTTGCCCAGCAGTGCTTCCCTAGGCCTTCGCACAGAGCAGCCAAACCCACTGTCAGTTTTTCCATCACTCACAGAATTCTGCACCACGTTTGGACCCTGGCACAGGCAGTCAGCATCCCCCACTCCCAGCCTCTAGGTCCACTGGCCCTGGCCTCTTCTCTCTCACCCCCCAGCGTCAGCTGCTTGACCTACGACCTCCTCTATGGCATTTTTTTTTTTTAGAGATTTTTGCCTTAGGGCTCACGTACTTGCCAGAGAGAGATACACACACAGAGACAGTGGGAGGGAAGTGAGAAATCACACCCCAGAAGGCATGGCCATGCCACAATCCCTACTCCTCCATTCTTCTCCCGGAATCTTGGGCACACATAAGTGCCCAGCGTGTTTTTGAAGCTACCGGGTCTGGGACTCGAACTGCAGTTGGCCATGTGGAAATCTAGCAACATAACCATCTACTGGCCCCTGTGCCCAACTTCTGCCTCTTCTGTTCTCCCAACCCCTAACTTAAACTAACTTTATTGAATTGTTTGTTAAAGGACCAGGCAGAGGTTAAGGGTGCCCGATCTCACATGGCCAACCCTGTGCTTCAATCTGGGCTCCATGACCTGAAAAACATGCCAGGCACATGTGCAACCATGACCCAAATCACAGCAGGACAGAGAAATGGAGAAAGGAATTTCAGCGTGACCATGCCTCATTGGGAAGGTGCTTTTCCCCTCGCCCTCCGGCAAGCTCATGTGTTCTCCGGCAAGTTAAAAATAAACAATTAAGTTGTTAAAATAACTACTCTGGATTCTGTTTCTGAGCCAGATTCCACCAAATACACATCTTTTTCCCTCACCTGCAGGGGAGCGAGAATTCTGACCCAGGGATGAGCACAGTACCCGGGACACTTGAACAGGCAGGGCAGGGGATCCTGCCAGGCAGATCCAAGCTCCCACCCCAATGAGCTCCACGTGCACCCCTTATACAGGAGCATACCTGGGAGCCTGCAGGGCCTGACTGACTACCTGGGCTGCTTTGGGTCACTCTGGGGACAGCACACTGGCCTATGCACACATGTCTTGCGGGAGAATCCCCGTGACTCACAATGAACCTTGTAACCCCATGGCCTGCAGGCTCCTGTGGTAGGCACAATGCCAAGATTGAAGCCCAGTGGCCTTTGTTCTGCCTGTGGAGTCCCCTAGAGTGTGATGACATCGCTCCCATGACGTCATCTCAAGTCATCATCCAGGTGAGACCGATTCAATCACATGAGTCCTTCAAAACAGCGCTTCAGGCTAAGGGGCAGAGGGCAAATCCCAAAGATCTGGAGGGAAAGGACTCAGTCAACTATCGCTGGTTGTTGCTAGTGATGCTTGTGATGAGGCCTGCAAGGTAAATCTTACATTATGATCATTATGAAAACTTGAGCCAAAAAACTTACAATTACTTTTGTTAGAAGCAAACAATAAATATTCCAGCCTTGCCACTTCCTAAGGAGTTGGCTACATTTCAACACTTTCTATGCTCTTGTGCTGTTTCTGTCTGTGGCTCCCATATGAGTAATATCCCCTAGTGGAGGCCACTGTGCATCTCGGCCCAGCTCAGGTGGCTGGTTCACACCCATCCAGGCAGGTAGATTTACACTAAGGAAGTTGGCACACACTATGAGTCCCCATTCCCATCCCCCAGGCAGTTTTGACATGCGCAGCTCACAGTAAAAAGATGTAAACAAGACTGGTTTAATGGAAAAAGAAGGAATTGTTCAGCCCAGAAGAAATGAGGAAGGCCTTGCAGGAGGCGGGGAAGACTCACCAGCTCTAGCTATCATGGGGCCCTGCCCTGACCTTGTTGCTGACAGCCTCACTTCTCCTTCTGTTTCAGCCCCCGCCACGGGCCAACTCCTACAGAAATTGCCAGAGAGAGACACACACACACACACAGAAGACAGTGGGAGGGAAGTGAGAAATCACACCCCAGAAGGGACGGCCATGCCGCAGTCCCTGCCCCTCCATTCTTCTTCCGGAATCTTGGGTACACACAAGTGCCCAGAGTGATTTTGACCCTCAATGTCCCACCTCTGCTGTGACAGCCCTCCATTATTAATACCACCTTGTTCCCATTTCTGTGACAGTCTAAACTGGCCTCTGCTACCATTCTGCCTGGTCTTCCCCTGCACTCATGTGCACCCTACCAAAATCTACACACACACACCCCTGTGAATCCAAGCTTTGAGGGTTTGCTGCTGCCCAGGGGATGAAGCCTAGGCAGGCCCCTGGCATCTGACCACTAGCAGCCCAACGCCCCACGCAGCCTTATCTTCCACCACTCCATGAATTGCTGGGCTGCACGGCTGCTGCTACTTTCTGAACTCTAGAATGCTCTGGAACCTCTCTCAGCTCAGGATCTCTTTCTCTGGCCCTGGGCCCTGCTGACACTTTCCTTCTCAACCTCTGTAGCAACACTTCAGATTTTGGGTGTGGTCCTTAGAGGTTGGGGCTCCCTGTACTTTCATGTGACATTGAATGGATGCCAGCTCTGGGCAAAGTCCCAGCCTCAGGCTCCACTGGCAAATGAGCTCCTGCTTATAGAGGGGACTCAGTGTTTCCACTAAGCCTGAAGGACAAAGTTCTACTCACCCTCACAGCAGTCGGGACTTGCACTACGTGGATGGCTATCAAAGTGGAGCTGGCTTGAGGATGCGGGGAGTTCAGCACTAAGCTGGAGAACGGAGCAACCCAGCCACAATCAGAGGGACAGAGGCTTTGTCTCTGTCCTTGATGTTATCCAAGTCTGGCACATGCAGGGGCCCCTGGGGCTGCTGAAGGAAGAGACACGTGACGTATGCCCTGTCTGTGGGAGCACTCCACTTCCTGCCGAGAGGGGAAGCTGCTCAGACAGCAGGGCTCCTGTGGCTAAAGAATCCCAGGCAGAGTCAGGGCTAGAGAGGGGTCTTAGAAGTTGCTGGACCTGCTCCTTTGTTCTGTGCTGGGAAACTGCAATCACTAGCCAGGTGGTACCTGCAGAGCTCACCCTGTCATAACTGCTGCAGCCAGAGGACAAGGACACAGAGGAGCTCTCAGAGCCATGCCGACTCCCTGCACTCTGCCACCCACAGCTGTCAGGGGCCCTCAAGCAAGCTCATCCTTCCAGACACAACCCTCAATCCACCTTCCTGCAGCATGAGCATCCCTCCCACATGCCGGGGGTGGTAGCCTCGGTGGGTGGCGCATGCTCCCAGCAGTCACACACAGCCTTAGTCGCTGCACCACCAGCCCACTCTGCTAATGGTGAGGCAGACACAGCAAGACACTTGGCTGATCCTCCCTCCTCTGGGGAGCCAGTGACTCAGACAGCAGGAGAGCTCTGGAATATTCCAGAGCTGTTCCTCCACTCCAGTCAGACCTCATTCAAAGGACAGAGATAAGAGCTGGGCATAAGTAAAAGAAGTATCACCTGCCCTAAAGAATCCTTCCTGCAGCTAATTTCACAAGACCTTTAGACACTTTCATCAGAAAACAGGAAAGAGGGATGAGTGGGGAGAGCATCGTATGGCTGTCATCCTGACCAGCCTTGGGGCAATCCCGCCATCTGTCACTGGCTAGCCCTACAAATCAGCTCAACTGCATCTTTCGTCCTCAGATATCCAAGGAGAATTTCTGTTGGAAATAGTTCAAAGCAGTCTCCTACCTCCCCAGCTTGCCCTAAGTCCCATGGGCACTTTCATCAGGGTGTGTACCCTTGCTTCAGCCAGCACAGCCCTGGATTCCATACCCTTGGCTCCCAGCCCCACTTCTAGGCTCACAGTGCCAGGTCAGTCCCACGTGGAACCAAGAACTAGCGGGGTGTGATCTGCCAGAGGCGGGGCTGTGCTGCCAAGCCTTAAGAGAAGGGGTCTTGCCCAAGCTCCTTATGACATCCAGGGGCTGACAGTGGTCAGGAGGCCTGGGTAAGGTTACTTAAAGACTCAGAAACCTGGTCCCAGGTTCCCCCAGGTTACAAAGGCCACAAACAAAGCTGGTTAGGAGCCAGCCACCACCTTGTCCTGCCACCTGCCACCACCTACCACTGACAGCTGGTCCAGAATTGTCTGATGAGCCAGCTGCCGAACAGTCCCAAGGAGGCCAAAGTGGTATATGTGACCTGCTATAGGCTTCTGGGTGTGGCCATAGGCCCCCATTCCCACAGCATGGATGTCACCTGTCTGCCAGACACCTGGTCTCTACTGCGGAGCCTCCCACACAAAGCAATCTCACCTGGACACGGCTCCTCTCCACACTCCAGTACCAGGAACTGTGCGGGGTGGTGGCTCCCACCCTTTGAGCCTGCTCCCATCCAAGCAGCTGGCCCTCAGGATAGGCCAAACCTCTGTCTACTGCTGTCGCTTCCTCAGCTACCTACCTGAGGATGGTTGCTTGATGACTGTCCCAGGTAAGAAGATGAGGCAGGAGGCCAAGGGCCAGGTACCAGCTGCAGGATGCCATCAGAAGCAGCCAAGGACAGGGATGGGCATTGTAAGTCTGTATTAGTGGCAAGACCCTTAAAGCAAAGGCTCCACATGGAGCACAGGGTATAGACAGGGACAGGGTAGCTGCTCTGGGTAGGCCGAGAGGGAAGCCATTGTCCATCCTTGGTCAACTACGTAATTTATTATTTGACCCATCTCTCCACACCTCCTCCCTTCCTTTCTCCTTGAGAAAGTCCATTTACTACTCCTCAGCATCACTCTCCCAGATTACTTGTGATTCTATTTCAAAAGGCCGACGTGAAAGTCCATTTACTACTCCTCAGCATCACTCTATTTCAAAAGGTCGACGTGACATCAAAATCAGTAAGCCACAGAGCCAATCGGCAGCCACTGTGTTACTGAAGCTGCCCACTTCGCAGACACATCCCTTTCCAAGGAGTGCCCCAAGCCCCCTGTAAGGGGGACAGCCTCTCAAACAAGAGATAGTGTGGGGTCAGCCAGCAGAGTCTGCAGAGAACAGAGCAACACAGGCACAAACACCCATGCTCACCCACATATGCCTAGACCTAGACACAAACATGCACACTCAAGCATATATGTATGCCTATACACACACACACACGCATGCATGTGTACATAAGTCCCCCACACACATGCCCACATGCACATGTATACACATACATACCCATATATACACACCTATACATGAACAGACACGGTCCAGGGACAGAGGCAGGAGAAAAAAAGAGATCAGAAAATAGACCAAGGGGTCAGCAGGTGGCATGGAGGTTAAAGTGCTGGATCCCACATGGTGAACTGCACGGTTCAAGTCCCAGACCCAAGTGGCTTGAAAAATCATGCCAGGCAAGCATGTTTTCATGCCCAAAATCGCAAGAGGAAAATGGAGGACCATCCCCCCGGGGTGAGTGATTTCTCACTGTCCCCCTTTGGTGAGTCATAAGCACCCTACAGCAAAAAATGAAAAAGAAAATGGGATCAAGAAGTTCTTGCTTTTTCTCCATGATGGCTAAAGAGGAGTAGTAGAAACCTCTGTCCCAAACTAAGAGAATCAGGGAAGCAAGAAGTTAACCAATTCTGTTCCTTCTTGGAGAAATATGAAAGGAAGAGTAGGAGAAATACCAAAAGCAACACCTGCATTTCCGGGATTGGAGCATGTCCTGGCTCAGAGCAGGGCTGGCAAAGGCCAGAGGGAAGCAAGGGGAATCCCAACCTACAGGAGGCAGGAGGCAGCTCAGTGAGCTGGAAAGCAGGAGGAATGCCAGGAAGCGTGAAGTGTATGCAGTCTGCTGTGCACCTCTAGGGAAGGGAGTGAGGCAGGTCAGGGCAGGAAGGAGTCACAGTTTCCATCACGGACTCCTTCACACCATTTGCAAAGGCATGTCACCGTGACATTAAGGCAAGACGCTGTCTCTAAAATGTCACAGTGACTCTTCCAGTATTCTCTGAATGCAATTCCAGACAACAAGGCCCTTTCTTTCTTTAGTTTATTGCTATAGGGTGCATGTACTTGCTGAAGAGAGAGCGAGAAAAAGTGAGGAATCACCCACCCTGGGGAGATGGCCATGCTGTAAACTCTTCTTGTAGGATTCTGGGCATGCAGGTACATATGCCCAGCATATTTTCTCAAACTGCCAGGACAGGGACTCAGCTGCTCCGTTGGCCATGTGAGATCCAGCACCTTAAGCACCATGCCACCTGTTGGCCCAGATAAGGCCCTTTCCTCTCTCTATGAATGTGATCTCTATCAAGAATAAAACTTTAGGGACCAGCAGTTAGCATAATGGCTATGTCGATGGACTCCCATGTAGTCGACCATGGTTCACATCCTGGACCCGGTGGCTTAAAACTCATGCCGGGCGCGTGTGCGTGCATGCCCAAGATCCCGAGAGGAGAATGAAGGAGAAGGGATTGTGGTGTGACCATCCCCCCTGGGGGGTGATTTCTCGCTTTCTGTCTCTATGTCTCTCTCTGTCTGTCTGGCGAGCGCACGCGCCCTATAGCGAAAACCTCTCCAAAAAAAAAAAAAAAGAATAAAACTTTAAAAAAAAATTTTTTTAGAGAGAGATTTTTGCTATAGGGCGTGTACACTTGTTGGAGAGACAGAGAGAGAGAAAGTGAGAAATCACTCCCCCAGGAAGGATGGCCAAGCTGCAATCCCTTTCTCTGTTCTCCTTTGGGCATGCACATACTCGTGCCCAGCATGAGTTTTAAGCCACCAGGTCCAGGACTTGAACTGTGTTTGGCCATGTGGGAGTCCAGCACCTTAGCCACTATGCCACCTGCTGGATCCCTCTAAATTTTTTAAAATGGGTTTTAAGCCAGCAGGTGTGTAGTGGTCAAGGCACTGAACTCTCACATGACTGGCTAGTTTGAGCCTCCGACCCAGTGGCTTGAAAATCATGCCAGGTATGGGACCAGCAATTATCGTAATGGCTATGTCGCTGGACTCCCACGTAGTCGACTGTGGTTCCAGTACCGGACGTGCATGTGTGCCCAAAATCCCGAGAGGAGATTTAGAAGGGATTGTGGCGTGGCCATCCCCCCGGGGGGGGTGAGTTATTG